TTAAAGTTATAAAAATACCCTTAAACTTTCAAAAGAATTTACAAAATATCCTTAAATCTTCAAAAGTTTCATTAATACCTTTCAAATTTTTTAAAAAATTTTAGATACACCTCTTAAGCTTTTTTAAAAAAATTTCAAAAATAATCTTACTAACCATATTTAAAAAATACAAATGAAGTTTCAAACAAAGGTACAATTAATTATAAGCAAAATAAAAAATAAAAAAAAAATAGAGTAGAACTTTGTAATTATTTCAAATAAAGGTATAATTAACTATAAGCAAAAAAAGAGTAGAACCTGATAATTATTTCAAATAAAGATATAATTAATTATAAGCAAAAAAAAAAAAAAAAAGAGTAGAACAAGGAATCAATTGTCGTCCCCACATGATAGGTTAAGTGGTCCCACACTCAAAACCGTCCACAAATCCTATCCTTCATTGTCCCACGAAACTTCCAAGAAATTTCCCTCTGACGCGTCCTTGCACTCACGTCAAAAAGTGGGCATCCAACTACCCTTCTGCACTAACTTGACTTTCTTCCTCCTATCCCCATCTCCCAATATTCATTGCTCCAGTATTTTTTATTAACTCCATCCTATCTACTCCCTCCATTTGCACTAAATAAGTTTTATAACACAATTCCACCTCAGCAATTCTTAGATGCTACACAAGCTTGAGTTCCTCAACTCCATCCCTATTCTGAAGCATAATATTCTTGCCTTAATCATAATAAATAAAATAAAAGCAGCAGGAAGAATAGTTCATATTTTCATAGGTGTAGAATTTCCAATGGTTGACAATTAAAAACCATTTCAATTTTCTCCCTCTTCCATTATATTACTTATTTCTAAAGCTATTTCTGAAACTTCAACGGAATTTCAGTTAAAGAATTCAAAGGGTAATAAAATAATTTTTTTAAATATGACCAAGAAAACCAGATCTAGATATTCATGACGTATGTATTAAAAACCTTATAAATGGTTTGATTTTATTAAATCTATAAATTCGCATCTTACATAAGGTTTATTCTCTGAGGAAATAAAAATAAAATACTCCCTCTAAAACAATTTCCGCCGGCGTAAAATTCGTTGAAGCATCTTTTTCTTTAAAAATTAAATTAAAAAAAAAAAAAAGAAAATGAAGTATCTCACTTATTACAGCTTTATAAAAGGCATATTCTATAGATTATTACCATCTTTCCAAAAAGTATTATTCTAGTGGCCGACGGCTTTCTAAGAAAAAGGATGAATTAAAAGAATAAATAAATAAAAAGAAAATTAGTTGAATCGCCAGGAAAGTTTCCTTATTGTGTATCACGATCTAATTGGCCAAATTGATACCAACAGGTCAACGATACAAATATGGACACATGACCCACATGAACGTCCAATTGAAAAGGGCAAGCTTTTTATGAGCAGACAAAAGGCCGTTACTGGTTGAATATTTTTTTAGATATTAAATTTAAAGTTAAAATATCTCCATGTATTTTAGTTCAATAAATTTTTAAAATAGTCTATATTTTAATTTATGATAATTTATAAAAAAGAAATTTTGGAAATATAATTATAGCGTTTCTTTCTTTAAAGAAAAAATGATTATATTTAATATTTTAAAGTATAAAATCTACATTAGAATGAAATCAAAATATATGGATAAAAATTAAATTTAACCTAAATTTAAAATATTGTAGACATCAGATAATTTGATATTTTAAACTAATTAAACATTTGAAAAATATACAAATAGTTAGATAATATTATTTTATTTCTACTGTGAGTTTTAAAATTTTCTCTTTAAATTTTGATTTTTCATGAGGAATTAACCATCTAAATAAATAAAAAATAGTAGTCAAAATAATTTTTTGATTTATTTTATTTAAAAATAAACTAAACAAAAAATAATTTTCTTAGGAATACTATTAGAGAAACGGGTTTTCATGAGGAACGGGTTTTCAATTTTCATTTTGAAAATTATGTGGATTAAATGGATACATATCTCAAATTTAAGAAATTTATAGTTTAACCAGATTTTGCCGTTGCTGTTCGGCATCCGCTATAGCATTCGAGATTTTTCCAACTAGGAAATTCACAATGACCATTAATGGGTGTAGAGTGAACACTGTTTCTCAAAGCTATTACGTCAAGAAACCCTATCTTCGCGGCAAAAGGTAAGGGAAGAAATCGAGGGAAAATAAACTCAAATTTCTAAAACCTATTCGAGTTTGCCTGGATGAAACTATTTCGCGTCGTTCACTGTGTAAACTAGTCTACTCTTCTAACATTTTATCGGTGGCCAATCAGACGAGAAAGAGGAATAAAAGAAATCCACATTGTGGAGATTGAAATCAGGAATATGAATATGAGACCTGAGATTTGAATAGATTAAGAATAGAGAGGACTAGGAAATCGAACCTGGATTTTGAGCTTCTTTTTCTCGGCTTCGGAGCGTTTGTCGAGATCTGCAGTATTTCGGAACCTTCGGCGTCGATTTTTGACGATAGAGACGGCAGATCTCCATCTCCTCAAAGCTTCCGGTGAAGGACGTTTCGGCTCAACTTCAAAGTCCTTCAGAAGATACTTCTCTATACTCATTGAAACTCACTGCTAATAAGATCTAAACAGAGAAGATGAAAATGAAATATTCTCTGATTTGAGTTTTCAACCGGCGGAAAGCCGTATCCGTCGCTTTAATCGGCCTTGTTCCGAGCAGATCAGAATCAAAGTTGAAAAAGGAAAGAGGCTTTTACTTGAGAAGACGGAAAGGCTCTTCCAAAAGCAGCCTGGTACCCGAACTTGCCCAAATTACTGGAAGTGGACTGAACGGGAATGAGTGGATACAACCGAATCCTGCGCTAGCCTCTCACAAAATGCTTCGGGATGTGGTGCGCTCTATTTTTTGGTCAATTGTTTCTCCCTTTTTATATACAAATTGTAAATAAAAATGTTTCTTGTTTCTTACAATATATAATCATAAATAGAAAATTTTTAATAATTCTTTTTTAATTGGAATTTAATTTAGTATAAATTTGCCTATAAAATAAAATAAAAAAGTAACGCCGAAAATATAACCTTTCATGTTCATGATTTTGAATCTAGATTCAATCGTTGATGGACATTATTTAACAACATGACCACGTGACCCATTTGTCTTGAATTGTTTATAAGAGTGAAAACTATCTCTATAGCGTAACACCTATTCTTATAACTGTGATGTCTCACATTGGTAGGGGAGGAGAACAAAATACTCTTTTATGAGGGTGTGGAAACCTTCCCCTAGCAGATGCGTTTTAAAGCTTTGAGGGGAAGCCCGGAAAGCCCAAAGAGGACAATATCTGCTGGCAGTGGATCTGAGTCGTTGCAAATGGTATCAGAGCTAGACACCGGACAATGTGTCAACCTTCTCGCTGTTCCCCAAAAGGGGATAGATACGAGGTGGTGTGCCAGTAAGGACGCTGGACCCCAAAGGGAGGTGGATTTGGTAGCGGTTCCACCTCGATTGGAGAAAGGAACGAGTGCCAGCCCAGCGAGGACGCTGGGCCTCAAAGGGGGTGGATTGTGATGTCCCACGTTGGTTGGAGAGGAGAACAAGATATCCTTTATAAGGATGTGGAAACCTTTTCCTAGCATACGTATTTTAAAGCCTCGAGGGAAAACCCGAAAGGGAAAGCTTTGCTAGCAGTGGATCTGGGTCGTTATAATAACGTATTGTGGCTGCACTCACATATTTATTAAACAAAATTATAAAATTTATTTTGATATGAAACTTGCATGATGTGTGACAATTAATGTTTTACCTACTACTACTTAGGTGCTCACGTGTAACTTTTTCCTGATTTAACTAATTAGTTGTGACATAATAATAAATTTTATGCTATTGAGGGATATTGTGAATGTTTAAAAATATCTTATTGGCCATAAACTAATTTGATAGCGTTAAAAGTTAAAAAAATAAGTAATTTTTTTTAATAAATACAATATTAAAAATTTAAATTTTGATTAGACATCCACATGATTGCTAAAGCAAGCTGAGCTTCACACGGTGGCCATAAGACCCTCTCACGACCGAATGATCTACAACACGTTGGAAAGCTTTTAAACCCTAAAACGCCCTTTCTCAACGAGTGTCGAAGTGATCCTCATTCTCATCGCTACCTTCTTAAGCTAAAAGAGAGCCAAACAAGAATCTCGGTAGTACGAACGGGAAGCAGAATTGTATCTGGCAATAGTTCTTCATATCGACTATAAACTCTAGACTATGTTGTTTGACTTCCACTACACGGGATGAACATCCATCTCCCTTTATTGCCAGCTCACCCACTCTCTACAAACGTGGCACCCACTCTTGAATTGATGACTATATGCATAATTTTTGCATTATGGCTTATTGTTTAATAAGTTTAGGGTCTGGTATGCATAAATTTAAGCCCATCACGTATGAACACGTGGCCAACGACTATATATATATATATATTTTATTGTTATCTCCTATACTTCGCCGACAATTATTTGAGTTATGGACACTATTTTTGAGCAATATCGAGCTTGTAATTTTGTTGGTCAAAACTTATCGTGAATAGACATTATTCATTTTGATCTATTACGTATAGCTGTCGGCCACACGACTTAAAAATGGATTAGGAAGAAGTTTTCACACCTTTTGTAAGGAATGCTTCGTTCCCTTCTCCAACCGATATGAGATTTATAATCCTCCTCTCTTCGGTTTTCCAACATTCTTGCCAGCACACTGGCTAATGTCTAGGCTTTAATACCATTTGTAACAACTTGGCCGTATGTCTAGGCTCTAATACTATTTGTAACAACTTAGGCAGCACACTGACTGATGTTTGGCTCTAATACTATTTGTAACTGTCTAAGCCCACCACGGATAGATATTTTCAGTTTTTACTCGTTATATATACATATATATATTATATTCAAATTGAGATGGAAGGGTTCAAGGTTTTCAATTGACACTAACATTTTTAAAACGTCTTTGTATTCTATTTTATTTCTTAGCAAACCATTGAGAACCTTAAACCCTTGCACCTCCCGCTCACTTGAAGTGCTTCCACCTTCGCGCATTCACTTCGGTTCCCTCGCTTTTAGCCGTTCAGTGCTGCCGCCGCTGTTTCTCTCCCGCTCAAGGGCACTCAGCCAAATTGCCCTTGCCTCTCAGACCTCTCCCGGTGCCTCCTTGCCAGAGCTATGGCGAACGACCAAGACATGAGTGGCTGGACTGATCTGCTTCACTCTTCTACGAAGCTCCTCGAACAAGCTGCTCCATCAGCGCAGTTCCCTCCTCTCCAGGTTTCATACTCTCTCCGTCGCTTTGGTTGTTTTTCTCAGAATCTGCGGAAATCGAGGGTTCTAATTGAATTACATACCTTCATTTTCATAATTTTCGCCTACAACTGGATTGGGCAAGTCTAATTGTCTCGACAATGGAATGCCCTACTAACTTGACTGTTAGATATATTTTTATTTTCATAATTTTCACCTACAGCTGGATTGGGCAAGTCTAATTGTTTCGACAATGGACTGCACTTCTAACTTGATTTTTAGATATATTTGTATATCTGGAAAACTATGTATTTCTAGCTCTATTATCATTATCAACTTACGATTACGACCACTTTGTTCAATTCAAGGCAGTGAAAAATGGGTGCATTAAAGGTAAACAAGAGTTCTGAGACTTTATTAACTGTGCTTATTTTCTTAAACGCCTGCTGCATCCAGCTTAACGGGAGAAAAGAAGAATTAATAACGTTTGAAACAAAAGATTCAGTAATAAATACCAAGAGGGAAGAAAAGTTTCGGAATGCATGATGTTTTCTGATTTTAAAATAAGAAGAATATAAGAAGAATGATCAAGAAACGAAATCTCTAGCTTCTTGTCTCCACATTATGTCTCAGTTCTTATTTCTGAATTTCATGATGTGTGATTGTTTCAGAGGAACTTAGATCAGTTGGAAGTGTTATCTAAAAAACTCAAGGCAAAGACCTTGAGAACTGAGGCGCCTACTCAATCTATTGCTGCTACAAGGTAGTTCTATTACTGCTACCAAAATCTTCCCTTTGTCAATTCATATTTTTGTTGCTGCAGTCTCTTTACTTACCTAGAAGCGAGCACATTTTACAATTGTAGGTTACTTGCACGTGAGGGAATAAATGCGGAGCAACTTGCTCGAGATTTGAAGTCTTTTGAACTAAAGGTGAAGAGCTTTTTAATGTTTTCAATTATAAATAACCTTCTTAATGACTATAGTTTTTTCTTTCAATTTTGATGTACTACCTATAATGTATGTTTAAAATAAGAATTAGACTCTTCATTATTATAATGAAACATACAGAAAGGGGGAGGAAAGTCCTCACCCTACGACTAATGGGGTTGCCAGACAATTCTCCGTAAGCCCAACTATTAGAAATACAACAATTACAAAAGGAATTACTAAGTCTATACCCAGAGCAACAACAGAAATGGCATTGTCGAGAAAAGAAGGCATTGTTTTAAGGAAACAATTGATTTCATTGATAAATGAAATATACAAATGGAAGGGATACCCGACCACCAAAGGTGGATTACAAAAAAGACCTCTAATGCCTCATTAAGATCCAATCCTCTGCAAGTAGTATTAACCATTTCTTCAAAACTGTCACATTAGTCTCCTATGTATGTGAAAATGTCAAGGGTTGGGATGATTTTTAATCTTTAACCAACCTTCATATGAAGCGATCATTGATTACTCTCCATGCATTTCTTTAGATATTCTAAAATATTTCATCTTCAGTTTGCTCCATGCATTTATTTAGACATTCTAAAATATTTTACCTCCAGTTGTTCCAACTTGACAACCTTGGGGTTCAAAGGTTTTCAACAACTTTTTTGTTGAGCAGAGAATTAAAGCTCTGTCAGCTGAGAAAGGAATTATAGTACATCTTCCATTGGTTGAAGTGAAAATAACTTTCTTAATAGCTATCCAATCATCATGGTAGCTAAGGCATTGGGCTATTAAAGTTTCATCCCAATTAAAGCAGACAGTGGAGGGTAGTTGGGTGGATGTCAATGGTGGGGCCTTATGGTCCGTAAGGGTGCAATGATGCTTGGTTTCTTGACTGTTTGGTGAAGTATCCGAGTCATTGCTCCCCTAAATACAGACCTTATAAGGGGCTGCTTGCAAAACTACTTGTGGGCCTTTTCCTTTTGTTTGTGTGCTTTGTATGGGTAGTCTGAGACGAGGGAGTAAAAAGAGAACCATCCTTCTTTATTCGAATCTGATGGGATGAAAGCTCAGCACTTTTGACCATTGTTATCAAGTTGGTTGACCTCCATGTAATAACCTTGTTTATTTCTTAGTTTCGACCATTGTTGTCAAGTTGGTTGACCTCCAAGTAATAGCCCTGTTTATTTCTTAGTTTCTTGACTAAAGTAATATCATCTTTGGTTCTTAGTTCTTTGAAAGCCTTGAAGGAGCAAGGTTCCTTTAGGAGGATATTGTAGAATGTCTCGAGCCATAACAACGATTTCTAGGTGATGCACGATGTGTAGTAGGACGTATGACTACCTTCTTTTATTCTTGCCCTACTGCTTCTGTAATGGTCATTCAAAGCTGTGAAGAAGGTTCTCCAGTCAACGTTGATGTGGCTTTGCGGTTGTCATTGGTTAGGGAAGGGGAAGGAGGGTTGGTTAATGACCAGAGATGAGAGTTGGGATGGGGAGTAGGGAGGAAAGGAGGAATAGAGGATGGTGATAGAGTGAAAACATAGGTAGAGAAAGCGAGAGTGTATGTCAATTATGGAAAGCCTATCTATCTTTGTGTATAAAAATTATGGAAAGCCTATCTATCTTTGTGTATAAAAATAAGGTGGTTTCTTTTCAATGGAACTGCATCACAGGAAAATTTTGATGAGGTTGAGCCAAAGCTTTTCTGCCTTCTTCTTTAAGGATGACAAGTAAGGAGAGAATGGATATTGGCTTTTACCTTTATAGTCCAAAACTATCTTGAAATTGTGTGTATTTTGGTTGGCCTGATCTAATTTACATTGCAAAATTTTATTCTAGTATTCTATTGCTTTCTAATCTTTTATGTGCCTGTTTATTACTTCTTTTGAAGACTACTTTTGAGGACGTATTTCCTGCGGAGGCAACTAGTATTGAAGAATACTTGCAACAGGTATTTTTTATGCAAATTTTCCTATCATTGCAGTCTTGCAGATAAATTTTACTAAAAAAGGTATTGGCTTATATATGAAATGTTGGCTGAAATTTCTATTTCATACTTATATTTGCTGGAGGATGTTGCTGAACTAATGCTATTACTAATTTGGTTATTCGTACGTATATGTTTTATGCTGTTACTAATTAGGTTATTTGTACATTTATGTATGGTAGTCTTCGTTGTTCTTGGACTTTTTAAGCATGCCTTTTGTAATTGATATTTCAAGTTTCTTAAAAAAAAAATTAAGTGCGAGTCTCATTAATTTGCACTTGGTTTTTTGGAACCTCAGCATCATGGTGAGGTAAGACACAACATATGTACACAAAATAATTAAAATATTATAGCATAAGATTTTATCTTTCTTTCTTCTTCTTTTTTTTTTTTTGACAATGAAACAAAACTCCTCACTGAATTAATGGAAAATTATAATAACTCCTAAAAGGAGAATGCAACACCAGTGCGATAAATTTTCTAGAAGATACAATAAAGCCACAAATAAGAACTCCCAGCCAGAAAAGAATAAAAGACCTAACATAAGTTTGTCTTGTGGGATAAATAGTAGTGTCCCGAGGTAAGGGCAAGGGGTGGAGAGAACGTTCAAAGAGTAGTGTCCCCATTTCAAATTTTTGTATTGAAGCTTTTAGATGGTGTGAGATTAAGCTAGTTACATCAAATTTGATTTGGGATGATTCTAGACGAGGAATATATATTTTCAGGAATGCTTTCTCGAGAGTTTTTCACTTGGCTAATTCTAACTGCCCTATTTTTTTTTGCTGCTATTTTGATTCTATTAGGGGTGGAATTTGGATTTTAAGCATTTTTTACCATGCTGAATGGGCCAATTTTCTGCTCTTTTAAGGGACAACTTAACTTGTTTGTACTCTGTCCCCGCGCTTTTATAACTAGTTCTATATACTTAAATGAAAGGTTCAATGTAAATCTAGTGTGGGAGTTCAAAATGAATTCATTATTCATAGAAACACTACAAAGTTGTTTTTTAAAATGAACACTGGAACATTGTAATACTCTGCTATCTATTTTAAATGTTTTTTTTTTTTTGATAAGAGACAATTTCATTGATGATTGAAATTTACAAAAGGGATGTATAATCCATGGTATTTATAAAAAACCTTCCCAATTTACAATGAAGGAGGATTTTAAAATGAATTCATAGAAACACTTGAACAAGGTCTATTCAGTAGGTTGTACAACTATGTCTTTGAGTTCTAAGAAACACTTTTAAGTCATTTTTAAATGAATTTCACAGGAACATTGTAATTTGGAGTTGAAAATCATGTATTTTTTTTTCTCTTAATTTTAGAATATAAGCTCTTAAAAACTGATCTCCTTGCCTTTTGTGTTGAGTTATTCATTTTACAGCTGGAAAATTTTATTATTATTATCATGAAAAAAAATATTTCAACTTTTATGGGGCTATCTTCACAATTTATCCTGGACAATAATTAATGTTGATATGTCTGATCTTTGTGCATTTCGAATTCAACCTAGGTCCATGAAATGGCAATGATCTCGGCCATACAGGAGGCGCAGAAGGACAATGTCAGAAGTTTTAATGGTTACATGATGAAAGTTTTAGAGGTTAGTATGACTTAGTTATTTTGAGAGGTTGAATGTTTTCTCTAACTACCTCTTCTTTAATGTTATATACATAATATGCGAACATTTCACTTTAATTTTCAGTTGTTCCCTATTCTTCTATCATTTTTTGCTGCGTATTTAATAGTGGCATGTGAAAAGTCAAGTGGTAGAACAAGCTTCCTATTGGAACTAATTCTGAAAGCTTCAGAAAAGAGTTGGGCGTTTCATGTTTTTTCATTTGAGGTTGATCTTAGAAGAGATAACTGATATATTTTATTTTTATTTGCCCCTTTGGTTGTCCTTTTAATGTTGTAGTTGATGAATATCTTCATTCTTTTCATGGTGGCACTGGATTACTGGTTCTTGTTGCGGTTATTGTTCAAGAACTTTCATAGTTAACTATGGAAAATTTGTGCTTCTCCATTCACATTATAGATATAGATGATTAGTTTCTTATATTTGGCTTGCATCCCCTTTGTGAGGTTAAATTAAAATGATGCGATGGGTAAGTTGATCTCTGTTTAGTGGATTTGAATTGGTCGTGCTTTTAACTACTTCAATTGATAGTAAATAGAGCTCGTTTCTATAGAATAGAGAACATCTGCTTGGGTAAATTCTTTACTAATCGTGCATTTGTTTCTGAATTGTTATGGAATCAAATGTTTGACAGGAGGATTGGAAAAAGGAAAAACGTGATTTCCTTCAGAGTTTAAGCCGAATATCTACATTACCCAGGACTGATATGATTGATGATAATAGTGGGGCTCCAAGGTTGGGTCAAATTGCCTCCTTTGTATCCAGTCCTCATGTTTCATCTGGTTTTCCCACTCTGGAGTCTGCATCTCTAGCCAACAAGCCTACTATGGAGAAAAAAGCATCAACATATGCTGAAGTAGTGAAGAACATGAACGATGCCAGGGAACGTGGATTACCATTTAAAGTATGAGCTGGTTCTTTCTTTACCGACTTGTAGTCGTTCTATTACATTATATCCTTGTTGAGGATCCTAATAGCTTGTTGAAATGGACCAACGTAGTTCATTTCAATTCTTATTTTCATTTATGAATATTTATGATGTTTGTCTTATGGTCATCTTTAGCATTTAACCCATAATAACTTGTTAGAAACGTGCACTGATGGAAGGCCAGCTTTGATGTATTTTCTTGGCTTTAATCATTTGCTAAATGTCAACCATTTGTAGATGAATGATGACACGTATTTAATATTTGGTTTTTACTGTTTGTTCTCAACTATTAGCCTGCTGTAGCTTTCAAAGGCGCTTATGAAAGTTTAGATCTCCATGGATCTGCTGGGAAGTCAGTTAACATGCAAAAGATTTGGCATCTTATTCAAGTAAGTCGATCACCCTTTCTTTAATTGATATACATAATGAATACCCAATCATCTTCTCTGCCTTTCATTCCTTTTTTATTTGATAAATTGTTGATATCTAGATTTTTTTTAAAATGATAGACATTAATGGGTGAGGACTCAACTCCAAAACAAAATGTTTCAAAAACAATGTCACTAATACTTGGGGCCAGGCGCCATCTAGAGTTGGGACATGAGAAATATATGATGGATACAATACAAAGCCATCCTGCACAGGTAATGTTTTTTTTTTTTTTTCAAGTATAAATCTATTTACTATTTTTTTGTTTGGAATGATCACAATTGTTTTAATGAAGAGGAACTGATAAGGTGGGAGTACCCGAAAACTTTGTCCCATAACCAAATGACATCTCAAATTAGACACTCTCAAGTATAGGAGTATGGAGTTAGTAACCTAACTATTGATGCAAACATTACATTAAGTAGTTTTGTTGTTATTTGTTTCCCGTTTAAGTTAGTATATGGTTATGGTTATGGTTATGGAGGTGAGGTAAAGTTAGAGGGAAATGGTAAATTTCATATATATATATATATATATTTTTTTTTATCAAAGTGCAATGGGAGCAAATTTGATGGATAGAACAATCACCATCCTTTGAGCCATAAGTTCTTCAAAAGGACCAGATCTGGCATGAGAAAAAACGAACTTGATTAATTCAATGAACGTGTTATTGTACAAAATATTAAATCAACATGGTTGTTTTTTAGAGACTGCATCCACATCAAATGAGGGGATGAGAATTGAATTGCGGTTTGGACAGGGATGAGATGGAATGGAGAGTTTTCTGCGAGATGGAAGATTTTCAAAGAAAAAAATAACTGTTCAAAGTATTGGGGGAAGAGAAGAACAGTAGGTCTCAAATTCTCAGGAGAAGAGATCCTTTATACAGGTGCTCTAAGGGAAAAGTGATACGAAAGCCTTGTAATGCAAGAAAAAGTATGTGATGGGTAAAGAGAAATTTTTTAATTGTAGGGTGGTGGACAAGCAGTCGAAAAAGGAAAAAAGATTTGCAAATAAAACTTTAATGAAAATCAAAGATTCAGGGAAGATGGCCAGGAATTCTTAAAGAGAGGAAGATGATGGAAGTTCTTTAGAATATTAAAGCTTTGAACATCGATACTTATTCATCTACGTTTCTGACTTGGAAAAAATTTAAAATGCTACTTGTTAGTGATAATTTTGTTCTAAAATGGAATCCATTGCCAAAAGACTAGAAAGAACGATGGGGCCGAATGTTGAGATTTTGATAAGGATCTATTTTAGTTGTTGGCTTTTATTGTGTACTTCCATGATTTGTTTGTTTGTTTTCTTGATGAGAAACATTCAAAAAAAATTTATAAAAAAAACAATGTTCCAAAAAGAATAGAAACAGCCTAAGGGAGGGGTGGAGGAAGCCTCTGTCAAAGCTATACAACGAGAGCCTTCCAATCGCTAATATCAAGAGGGTGCAGAATTTCCATGATCTATAAGAAAATCGCAGTGGGAAAGTTAATCCCAAATTTTCGGCCAACAAGTTCCATGATCTATAAGAAAATTGGAGAGGGTCAACAGGTGATTAAGGTCTTCCGCCTCTTTCAAGCACATTCTACAATCTGAGGGTGACAAGAACCACCTAATTTTTTTTTTTGAAGTCTATCATTGGTATTTAAATTCCAATAGGCCAACGACCAAAGGAAAACTTTCGCTTTCTTAGGGCTTTTATGCTTCCAAGTTGCTCTTGTAATGGACAAATCCACCAAGTGGTCTTAGACGAAGACCCAAGAAGGTAGGCTTACAAGAGTATATACTGGAGCCTTCAAGAGACTACAAAATACGATTGGCTGCCTCCCCCGCTTGCACCATTCTCAACTTTTCCACTAGGGCCATCCATTTAGGCTAACGCCTTTACAAATGCCTCGATCTCTCACTGTTGTACCATTGCCTATTACAATTCCACAGTTTGATGTCTCCATCAACGACATATTCAACTTCTCCACCAACGGCAATGATATTAAATTGTGCGTTGCCCTACAATTTATCATCACCAGTACCTCTTTATCATCTACCCTTCCTTTTAAGCTGAATTGTTTCTGAACTCGAAAATCTCAATACTAATTTCAATGTCAACTTTGCGAACTCCTCATCTAGCTGTAGCTATTCTGCACCCATCCCTTCATACACTGCTTTTGTATCTAGCTAATATTCCCCCTCCTTGCACGCCACCTTGATTCTTAACTCCCTCGGTTTACAATGATGGCCAATGTAGAACTTCGTCACAACTGAAACATAAGCCTTTTTCCTTCCTCGTTTGGAACTCATTGTCTAATAAGTGTTGCTAATGGATTTCCCTTCAATGTCAAAACTAATAAAAACAGTTCGATGGTTTCAAGATTGACTCTTTTCAAAAAAAGAAAAAGAACAAGAAAAAAAAAAAACCATTCTAGGATTAGAAGGTTCCTTTTTTTTGTTTCCTTTTATAAATTTGAATTTCTATATACACTTGTTAATTTATGCATAGATAGTCTGTGTGTTTACTTTTATGCTCAAACTATTATAGTTGCCATTTATTCTTACATGACTCGTATGTTGAAGTCATCTTATTTCCATGTAGGCTGCCCTTGGTGGTGTCGTTGGAAATCTTCAAAGAGTTCGGGCCTTCCTTCGGGTTTGTTTGTGACATATGTTCAAAGAATTAGAAAATTTGACATGCTATATCTCGTCTTGTACTTGAGTTATTTTTTATTTATTTATTTATTTTTGATAAGATCTTGTACTTCAGTTTTAAGTTCTTGTTATTTGCAGATTCGCTTGAGAGACTATGGAGTTCTAGATTTTGATGCCAATGATGCACGTAGACAGCCTCCTGTTGATACTACTTGGCAACAGGTGTTGATACCTTTTTGAATTTTATAAGTATTCACTTTAATATGTTTCTCATCGAGAAAAAAGGAAAAGGTATTTGCATTAATACATCTAGTAGCAAATGTGGTTGTTTGTATTTGAGTTTTATATGATTGGGCCGTTTTCTTTTGTTGGCTCATTTTGGGGTTGGTTCTTTTGCATGCCACTTGTATTCTATATTCTTTCATTTTATCTCATTGAAAGCTTAGTTTTAATTAAAAAAAAAAATGCTAATCTAAGTAAGACCTACCTTTGCCTTGTACTGGGGAAGAAAGAAGCCAAAATATCCATGATTCTTGCCCTATCAGGCTCATACTTTTTGTCCCGCACCAGATTTTGGAAAGTATCCTATCAAATTTTTTAAAAGTTACTCTCCCATACACAATCTTTGAGTTCCAAACAACATTTGTGAAAGGAAGACAGATTTTGGATGGTTCTCATTGCAAATGACGATTTGCCAAATTATAAAATACTAGATATGGATACACAGAGGATACATTATTTTATTACTTTTGTAGGATATATGTAAATTTAACAGAGATACTCAGTGTAATCCACTAAAATGCATAAAATATCAAGTCAATTGACAATAGTACAAAGTACCATACAAGTACCGATTACATATAATATTATCCAACATTAAGTGTCCATACTTCATAGGTCTCATGTTTTCAAATCACCATTCTAACGCAATGGACCCTTGGTTTTCCTTGAATTTTGCCCTAAGGTTTTTTTTTTTTTTTTTTTTTTTTTTTTTTTT